TATATTTACTTTACCCAAAAAATATGTTTTTATATACTTTATTTTTATTTATTTTAATTTTTGTGTTCACCTTTATATAACTTTTGTATTATTTGCAATATTTTTTTCCGTGTTCAGTGCAAAGGAATCCCCATTTTCAACTATTTCCTGTTCTTCTTCTTCAGCCCTGTTTCCGGTTTGCATTTCTGTGTTGCCTATTTTTGAGCGTTTCTGCTCCGAAACCCGAAAAATAAACTTGTCAGAACTGGAATTCATAGAGATTACAACAAATGGCATCGGCACAGGAAACATACATATATAAAAAGTTCTTTCGTGTAGTTTCCATCAGTCAGCAGGCGGCAGTCGCCATATTTTTCTGCATATTTAAACACAGGCAACGTTTTAAACGTGGCGAAAAGGACCCTCCCTAACTATATAGTCTGTAATCTTGGCGGCAATGAGAGCGTGTATGAGGCATTGTCACGCATAATTAAAATTAAATGCGCTTTTGGGAATAATTCAAATGAATAAACGAGCGTGGCCAACATGTGTGCTGCATACACAAAATGAGTTTGTCGCGACAGAAGGGAAAAAAAAGAAGAGAAAAGCGATTGCCTTAAACAGAGAAAACTTTTTAGAAAGCGTCCTTTTCGCTTTTCGTTGCCGTTTTCTTGTGCTGGTTTTTCCTGGCCGTCCATTGTGGCGAGTACGCCCCCTTCAAGTAGTGGGCGTGGCCAGGACAAAAGCGACTTTTCTGGAGAGAGAGGAACGCTTCATTTATTATGCGACTGATGGCCATTAATTTTGCAGGCCATTTTCCTCTGGCTGGTTTTCCCCCAAAAAATGGAAAAGAAAATCTATGCACATGCGTGTGGCCAAAACCCCAAATTTGAATCTCTGGCACATGGAAAACCGAGGCTGAAATTATTCACTAATTATTGACATGGACATGGACGAGCGAAAAGGGTTGCGAGGGATTCCTCTTCTAATTGCTCAAATAGTTGGTCCAAGTTCCGAGTTCCCCGAGCCTTTGGGCATTTCATTCCATCGCATCGATGCCCAATTTATGCCGAAGCACGAAGTTGTCAAAAATTTTAATTAAACACGACGGCAAAGGCATTCAGTATCCTTCTTCCTGGGGGGGATGGAAAACACCCCCTTTGCTTGTCACCGACTCAAAAAGTTCTGTAATTAAAAGAATTTACTAAATTCCACAAGGCAGCCACAAAAGCACTATCCAATAACGAGTACTATTTAAGTTTCTCCTTGAAAAATGGTCAGCAAGTGTAGATTTTAATTTAAATAATATAAAAACGAATAACTCAAGGACTCATCAAACATTTTAATAAATAAAATAAATGACTAAATCACACAATAAAAAGTTTTTAAAAGAATAAACATCAGAAGTTATTTATCGAATCGTTGATTCAAGTATTTGATCGATAAGCACTCTTATCGATTAATTATCAAAGTCATTGGCATTTACTTTTGCACCCACACACGCACGCATTCGGTAACATTTTCAATTTCCCGACAACAAAACAATTGAAAAGCCTATGAAATTGGCATGAAAAGAACGACAATCCTTTGTGACCACCCCCTCAATTTTCGTGGCTGAGTGCAAATTCATACACAGAGAAACCATTTTTATACTTAATAATTATAATATGCTATTATTAAAAATATTAAAGCTATTCGAATTATTTTGTGGTTTTTAATTCACATTTCAGTCATAGAAATGGAATTTAATATTTCTTTCTTAGTATCAAAAGCATTTTTTTCCGTGTAGACCCATATAAAGAATGATACAACTGCAAATGCAACTGAAACTGAGACTGGAATATCTGCCGGATGTTTCATTGTTCCCCGGAAGTTCCCGCACCTTCCTGACAGATGCCGTACATTTTCCAGAGTGTGAGTTCGTTCGCACAGGTACCTATGTTCCATATTAATCGACAATGGGAACAAACTTTTGTCAGCGTTTCTCATTTGCGAGAACTTAATGGAACCAGGTACCTTGGCTTTTCCTATGAGTTTGCCATTAGACAAATCTAAAGTTTATGATAAATAGTAAATTGCGACATTAAAAATATCTATATATTTCAAAAATATCGGAAAACTCTACCCAATCTCCGCCGCCACACGCACAGTATGCAATTATTATATGTTAATATTCTATTCCGATTATTTTACTAATCCACCAAAGAGTATTTCAAACTTCGATCTGCTCCTTTATGGCTGACTCCTTTTTGGGATTTGGCGTTTTGCAATCGAAATTGAAATGGATGACAAGGCGGCTGGTCATTTGCCTCTAAGCGCCGCTTTCAACGCGTTAACGCGCTTCGCAAACACGCAGAAAAGGGGGGCGTTGGAGGCGTGGGGGCGTGGCACATCGGGACAAACAGTGGCAGCTTATGGCAGATGGCGGCACTCTAATGTGGCCACTTTTGGCGTTGGCGTTGGTGCGTTGGTGCCTGGTGTTTGCCGTTTGACGGCCATCCAATGTGCAATCATGGCCAGCGGGTCACGCAGATTTATGGCCGTTTTGCCGAGCAGAAGAGTAAACCTCTGTGTTCCCGGGGATTCCCGGAAATTGCCAAACAAAATTGCATAACCAAGTGGCCAGCAAATGGCATCAAGGCGGAATTGGAAATATAGCCACTTGAAGCGACAATTTTAGTCAAAAGGGTTCGGTAACCTATCAAGTTGAAGTTATAAATTGATATGCGAATGTGCAAATTGATCTTAAAATGTGATGCAGAACGACGACTTCTTTTATTCACTGCATTCTTTTAGGCACCCCCCTAAATTTAACAGTTTAATATTTTTAATTTTGAGTAACCTTTAGCCAAAACTGAACTCTTTCTCTCTCCCCGATTTCACATCACTTTCCTTGGCCGAAAAAGTTGGCAAGCAGCGACTTCAATCTCTACTCCCCTGACGGAATTTATTTGCCAATATTTGTTAAGCTGAAATTTGGCAACAGTGCCAAGGGTTCGGGTTCCTCCTCCTCGTTGGCCTTTCACTTCGATCCATTTGTTTACTTCTGCCTTTTGCTTGTTGTTCTCTCGGATGGCTTTGGTAATAAACTTGAATTTTATTGTCCAACAAGAATGTTGCAATATGCTTGGCCATAATTTCAACGTCCTGCACATTGTTGCCAAAGTCGAAGGACCCCGTTGCCCGAAGTTGCCCCGTTTTTATCCTCCTGTCCAGCCGAAATTTTGTGGTTTGAGCTTAACGTCTCTTCTGATTGCACTTGTCCTTGTTTTTGGGCTCTTTGGCTTTTCCGGGTCCTCCCCTTCTTTCTTTGGTCCTTCAGAAGGTGACGACTCTCAACTTTTACATTTTACAGGCCAAGAAACTAAAACTACATTTTTGCTTCACTGAAAAATTTGCATTTTATGAGCTTGCAAAGCCCTTTTCTATAGATGTTTCTATATTATAAAAACTCCTTAGTTTTTTAGAAATATATCTCAATTCTTTTAGAACTTAATCTTCTTTAGTTGTGTAAATATTTATTTATTTTCAGTGTTTTTTTTTCCCTGGGGAAATAAAACGAAAGAGCATAATTTAAAAATATTTTTTCATATTTTAAGGAGCTCGTTTTTGGCATTTTTGATGCGCGGAAATCAAGGAAGGAGCCGAAAGGCAACTGAGTTGTGTCCAGACCATTTCAAGTTTAGTGCAGCTAATCTAAAATTTATGATGCACTTGAATTGCAGCTGGCAAAAAAGTTGAAAAGTCAACTAAAAGTGGGAGTTGGAAAAAGGCGAAAAAGGGAGCCCAAAACTCATACGACAAAGGGGCAACAAAATGCGAAATGGGAAATAGCAAATGCATAAAACAGAACTAAAATATTCATTGCATACTTTTAGCCATCGAGTTATGCATTTCTGTTTCTTTTTTTTTTGATTTTTTTGTATATTTTTCCTTTGCCATATTTGGTATATTTTTATTTTTGTTGACTTTTTACTGCTCTTTCGACTGCTCGGAAATTGGCAATTAAATATTGAAAGAGCCGGGCAGAATAATTTTAATAATAACATTCGAGTTTACTTTTTGGCTCCCTAATGGAGCAAAAATCGGCAAATGGCCTTTTGCTCGAATTGTTTGTGTTTTGATTTTATTGAGTTTATTGATCGGTGTTTAGGCATTTATGAAATATTTTTAATATCACAAATTCTAAAAGAATTATGTATTTGAGGTTCCAGGTTAAAAAAATATTGTTGCCTACTTTTAGAAGCCTTTATAAATGTATAGAACCCCTCAATAAATTTGATTGAACTTTAATTAAATGTTATAATCTTTTTTTAAATATTACTAAACTCACAATATATACTTAAACAAAAAAGTGACCTTGTTTCAACCCCTAACCCTGTGTAGTGCTATCCCAAGAATCGTAGCTCTTCATGCATTATTCATGGTCTAAAAATCATTGAAGTAAAATGAATTGATGTCAGGCGGCCCAGATGATGAAAGTAAAACCCACTGGGGAATTTCCATGGGGCTGTTAGGTTAGTTCTCATTTGACTAATACATAATTCATATAGTTTTTGCATTAGACGAGCGAGCGAGCGGCTCTCTTGGCCAAATGCCTAATGACTTAATTAGGCTAATAATGAGCAAGGACCGAGCGATGGTGATGGTGATGGCGATGGTTTTCCCTCTCATTTTCCGCATCCACATGTGCACTATCTCTAGGAAAATGGGTGGAAAATGTCCTGGCCACTCGATGGAGAGTGTGCGAGTGTGGATGATAATTGCGTGGGATGTCGTAAAAATGTTTTAACCGTGGCTCTCATAAATCATAATTAAGCACAAGATGTGGGGGTGTCAAGCGCCCGCCCTTCCCTTGCCCTCTGTAATTAATGTTTGTGTGTGTCGCTCTGTTGCTTTTTACTTATTAACTCATTTGGGCTAATCATCAGACATCCCCCAGCGACCCACTTTGGGGGCTGTCTGGCCCCCCGTTATCCCGTTCGTTCGCTCCCCCCTGTTTCAGTTATTCAGTTACTTACCTTTTCACGCAGCATATCGCGTATACGACCCGCCTGATTCTTCGACCGATGCAGCTCCAGTTGCAGCTCCAAACATCGTTCCTGCCAGTTAATCTGCAGGTAAGAAGGAAAACGAGGTCAGAAGGGGTTTAAAAATGGGTTTGGGGTTAAAGAAAATTACTACAAATAATTATCTTGGCTTTTTCTTAAGAGTTTTTGGCATCTATTTCGATTTTTTTTTTAATGATTTGATTAATTAAGTGGTTCCATTTTTTTAATTGTACAAAGAGGATTAAACAAATTAATTTACTCGTTACTCTTTACTCGTTACTATTTACTCGTTACTGTTTGCTCGTTACTATTTACTCGTAACTAATTACTTGTTAATATTTACTCGTTACTAATTGCTATTTTTATAGTAGTTTTACTAAATTACATTTTTATGTTATTACATATTAATCAGTATTGCTAAACTCTACCAATCAAATTAATTTTCTTGTAATTTATAACTTCCTTTTTCCCAAAGTCTGTGCTATTCCTACTTACCTCCGGCAGAGCCTGTCCGTAGTTGTTCACCTGGTGGACGTCCAAGTGCTCGGTGAGCGTCGAAAAGTGTGGCCATGGAGCATCTGGTGCATCGAGAGCAGCCAGCACGGGATTCACATGCGACTGAACAATCGTCGGGGCAGTCGAAGAAGAATCCCTGGGCTGTTGTTGATCCGACGCTGCCGCCGCCGTCTTCACCTGATTCGGCTTGGCCGGAATGGGCGGTGGGCGTGGCACACGTCGAGGCAGAAGCCTCGGGCTATTCGGTGTGGATGCAGTGACTCCAGTTCCTCCTCCGGTGGCTCCGAATCGACCCTGAGCCATTGGTATTTGCCCACTAAAGGAGGTTGCCCTCTTGGCCAAAAGTGGTGATCCCTGCAGCGATTGTGAGCCCGATAGACAGCCACGTTGGGTTACCCCGCCTCCCAATTGGGTGGGCAGTGAGGGCGGTTGGCTGTGCTGCTGCAGGTGGTGCACTTGGTGATGATGCTGCTGATGATGATACAAATGCGAAGGAAAGGTGTGCAGGTAGCCACTGGTGGCGACATCTTGCGGCCGCAGCAAATAGTTATTATGGGCGTTATGACTGTAGTATTGCAGTGTATTCAGTGGGCTGGCCACGCCCAAAGAAGGCGTGGCCCGCCCAGAAGTCGAGGCAGAGACACTGGCCGATGGCGATGGCGATGAGGAGGCGGATCTCCTACGCTGATCCGCAGGCGACTGCGGATGTGTATGCGGATGTGAATGCGGATGTGGAGGATGCAGTTGCTCCTGGGAACGCAGGTGCTGCTGCTGTTGCTGCTGAAGATTGGTTAGCGTATCGAAGATCTGCGATAGGCGACCCAAAGGCACTTCGTCGGACATTGACGCGGTAGCTAAAAAAAAAATATGCAAAATATTAATATCATTTATATTTATAATAATAATAATAAAATATAATTATATTTTTGTATATCAATATCATTTTCGACTTTTTGTATTATATTTCCAAGGTCGGACCAAAACTTTCCAAAGATCTCATAGAATTTTAAAGGGTCAGCTAGGAGAAATGGTACTCTAGCTTAGAGTGATTCTTTGCGATTCTTTTTTTTTCATGGTCCCAAAACGATTTCCTATTTTTATCATTATTATATTATATTACATAAAATAATTTTAAAACAAATTCATTTGACAGAATTAATAATAAAAAATACTCATAAATTATGGTTTTTGTCAAGTTCCCCGAAAAACCACATCGAATGTTCATTGAATTTTGGCTTGAATCAAGTGTGCCTAGCTTTGGAATGTCAAAGGTCGTAGCCTGGATTTGAGACCCAGACTTTCAGTCGTGCCAGAGACCTTGTTTGTCTCACACACACAAACCTTTGGAACTTTTACGTGGGTTTTCTAAAAATTTGTATTTTTCTTTTGTTTTTTTTGTTGAACATTTCTTTTTCGATTTCTAACCAAAATTTATTTACAAAATCCTCTCTAGACGATGGCGAATCCCAAGTCGAGTGGTGGTAATAAGGCCAAGGGCAAAGGTCACCACAACAGGCAGTCGCAGCAGCATTCACAGCAACAGCAGCAGCAACAACAGCAACAGCAGGTGGACCCCCCTTCTCAATTAACACCTGCTCCTGTGGCCGCCACTGGATTGGAACCGCCCACTGCCACGCCCCTCGCCTCTCCGCCCTCGGAGGACACTTTGGCCTTGGCAGCCGCCGTCGCCGCCTCGATCCCAGCCGCTCCCTTGGCCCGGCCCGCCAATCCCGATCGTCGCAACTCCACGCCAGCGGTGGTGACCCCAACAGGCAACAATCAATCGGAGACCAGTGCCCAAGCCGAAAATCTCAGCACCTCGCGAACGGCTTCGGCGGCCCCGGCTGCTCCGTCCTCCGAAAACAGACGCGGAATATTCCAGCGGCTCTTTGGTTGGAGTTCGTGATGAAGTTTCTCCAAAATCCTACTTGAAGCCTTCTAAATTTTAATGTTCAAAATTCTCATTTAACCGATAAAAATAAAAATCTATCTATCTTCGAGTCAGTTGTCAAAGCCAGTGGCTCCACCTAGCGGCCATTTCTTTTTTGCACATAACTTTTTAATGGATTGCTCGATTTTAAAATGTTTTTCTACATTTCGATAGGAATTTATAAACACAACAAAATGGCATTTCAACTTTTACAATGTGCGCGCCAGTCCTTTTTTTAAGCTATTACTAATTTCAGTTAAATTCCAGCTTCGATAAAATTGCATAAATAAATATTTTTAAATACAATTTTTGTGCTTCCCTTTAAAGCTACCATTTAAATTGAATACATATCTAAGATGTGCATCGTAAAACGTAGTAGCTCCTTTTATTCACTCAAACTAGATGCCCAAAAGTATTTCTGTCCGTTCCGAAACGATGCACAGACAATGCTGGGCAATCCATCCATCAATCCACCAATCTGGCAATCGGTTTGTGCATTACCAGATCCCCCAGTCAACATTTACACCTTTATCTACGTGCCCGGGCGAGGAAATCAATGCGAGCAGACGGAAAAAGACAGGGGAAAAGCGATGGAGCAGAACGAGAATGAGAGCGAGTGACGTTCCACCAAAGGGAAAAGTGGACAGTGGACAGCCAGCTTCAGCTAGAGAACTACTACTGCTACGAACTACCACTGGCCAACAGGTGCGCGAATCTGGGGCATCAATTGCCACTACGTGTGCGCAATGCCTAATCAACGGGCCAAAAGACCAGACGACCATCGAAAAGGGCAGTTGGTAGTTGGAAGTTAGCAAATTGAATATGCCACTAAATTATAGACAGCAGACTTGACATTCTGGAGTTCCATCATCTTTTGTGGTCCCTCTGCCTTTCTTGCATTCCTGGCTAGCTTCTTTGCTGTGAATTTTTGTGGCTAAAAGCCTTCAGCTTCAGCTGCAAACTCTCCAAAGTCCGACGTCCATTTCCATTGCATTTCCAACTCCTTCGCCATTTCTCCGGAGCTCTGTGGTGCTGCGGTCGAGGGGAAAGGAAATGGCAGCCCAAGGACCAGAAACCCAAACCAGACACATTTGTAAGAATTATATTCCAATTTTGTGCAGAGCATGAAGTGGATGTGGATGTGTGTAGTAGCCCCTGTGTGTGTGCGCTCACTTCATTTTGCAAATTTTGATTTAATTCAAGTTGATTGAAATTCAAATTCAGTTTTTGATTTGACAAAATGTTGCCGGCTCTTCACTTTAGGCCACTTCAAGGGCTACGGCTACGCTACTCCTGCTCCTTGCTTGCTTGCTGCTCTCGATTTTAAGTGCACTTTACAGCAAATTGTTTCTAATTTGCTCGGGCTTGTGTGAAAATTGGCAACAGTGTGCTCGAGGCTTTGCCGGAACGCTTTACGCTTCAAGGGAGCCGGAAATGTCCACAAACCACTTGATTAGCCAGTGAAATTCGACAACAGTGCAGCAGGGCAGACAATAGTGCACTATTTTTGAGTGCATCCAAGTGGATTTTGCAAAGCAGAAAGTAATCATCAAAAAAAGTATGGTCACACTGTAAAAATTAATTTTGTACGTAAATTTAGATAAGTTCGTTGATATTTTCCTTCAAAATAATACCAAAGGTAACCCATTATGAAGAAGAATAACAAAAGCTTTCACGAAAAACATTCTTGTGCAGTACTGTACTCTTGTACTTTGAATACTTTGGTCACACCGCACGTGCGTGACTGTACATGCCATAGTTATTATGGAACCTCCATAGTTTGGCGGGTTTAACGAACTCATTACCAGGCATAAGCCAGGAATTGGCAGGCCTGCAAGTCATAAGCGTAAGCGGCTTAGCAGAGATTGTTTTGCATATGCGAAAGGTAACTGCTAAGTTGGCATTAGTACATATCTTTGTTTACCACTCGGCTTAATATGAACTTGGCCAGGCCAGCAGCACATGAGCACATGAACAGGAAACGGAAACGGAAATGGAAAGGGATAGGGATGGGGATGCCAAGACTGAAACTCAGATACAGTTGAACAACTGTCCGGATACCGACACTCCGCCTCTTGGCTTCGGCTTCGGGTTAACTTAACTTGGCTAAGTGCAGTAGTGCAATGCACAGTTCCCCGGGCGAAAGGAGGGGATTTTGGGTTGGAAAATCCAACTGCATTGTCTTGTGTTTGCTCCTTGCTTAGCTCCCTAATGGAGGAATATGGAGGAAACCGAATATAAGAATGGCGACATGGAATGGAAAACTTACTCAAATAGTTGGCAAAACTTGTTCACGGCTCCAATGATGTGCAGAGCAGCAAAAGGGGGCAAAAGCAGAGGGGGCGAAGCAAAACAAATTTCTAAAAACCCCAGACGACAGTTAAGCTCCCTTTTTCTTGGGGTTTCCACACCACCACTTCTGCATTTCCGGTTCCTCTGTTTCAGTTTTCCAGTTTCAGTTTCAGTTGCCACTCGGAGCTTTGGGCAAATATTAGACAATGTATTTATGTATTATCAGCTCGGCAAAGGAAAATCTTGAAAGAATATGCTGGCAAAACGCAGTAGATATAATCAAGTAAACCATGTATGTTGGAAATTGTGTTAGATTCGTCATTCGTGTGTTGTTTTTAACACCCTTTAAAATTGTTCAATAACATTGTATCTTGTTAATACAGGCTTTAAATAATGGACTGCGCACAATTTTGCTTATAAAAGTATGTGAAAAGTATGGTAAACTAAATTTCATTGAACATTTTTGCACCAGACACCGCCCAATTCAGACTGCAGAATGTAAAGTTGTAAAATTAATACAACATAAAATTTCAAACGAACCGCCACACAAACACACGAAAATAATTTGCCAGCATGACAACACACCTAGTAGTTCAGTACACCGACGTCCACTTTTGTAGTGCCCTGGCGCCCACTGCCTTTGTTGTGGCACTTGAAAAATTTAATAAACGCTGCAGCATCGTTCGCATGCCAATAATTTTACAACGCTGCTAGACCCCCCTTGGCCCCCGCCACTGTGTAATGCGTCGTCAATTTGAAAAACATTGTCAATGCATGTGGGGCAAACAGGGGGAGGGAGCGAGTGTTGGTGTGAGATAACTACTAAGCGTCATATTAACAACATTGTAACATGCTGTGAAGGAGGATAGCCAGACAGAGTAGCAGTCCCAGCCCCACTTCAGCATTCTCCTCTTCTAATCTTGTCCCTTTTTTTTCATATGTCCTATCACTATTACTTTGGTATCCCGGCCTGAATGTTTAATGCTGTGCTATCACTTATGCTTTGGTCACACTGCAAACGATGAACTGTACTTTGGTCACACTGCACCTGCGTGACTGTACTATTGGCAAGTAAGAAAACCAGGGTATTACCCACTTCGACACCTCTCCCCCTCTCTATATACCACTCCCGCGTTTATTTTTTCATTTGCTTTCTTTTCGCTCTTTCATTCAACTATTTTTCACTCAATTCCAACGAAAAATTTATAATAAATGCTCGCGCACATGTGATGTCGCGCATTTTAATTGGTCTCTGCCACAGTAACTCCGAAAGGGAGTCATCGAGGGGGGCTATAGGGGCTATAGAACCCAGACAAACCGTGCAACTGTAAGCCCAGTCCACACACATGTGCTATATATATTACGGGCAAGTTTGGGTCGGGGCCCTTAACTCTTGGGTGCGTCTGTCGTCTTTTCTCCTCTTTTTGTTTTTCGTTGTCTGCGGTTTCTCCTTGTAAAACGGTTGTCATTCTGCAGTTGTTGTTTATGCTAGTTGGTAAGCACTTGTAAAGGGGTTCGAAGGGGGGTCAGGGGCGCCCCTCCATGACCTACGTGACAAGCAAAGAGACTTACAACAAAGCACCGACTGGCGACTAACGACTTGGGGTCTAGATCAACTAGATATATCTGCGCACATATATTACGCTTCCTTACCCAGTATGCGAGGGTGTATGCACGGTTGTGTTTGCAATAATAGCACTATCGAGTGGGTCAAACTTCGGTATGTTTAAATATTTTAGCAAAAATGTTACATCAATACTTATCTTAAGATTTTGGTACTTTTATGGTGTTTTCGTTAGTACTTAATAAGATTTTGGTATTTTTGATAGTGTTAACTAATAATAACATCAAAAATACCAAAATCTTATTTATCATAAAATAAAATTACTATAAAATATACCAAAATCTTTAGATAAGTGAGTCAAAATCTGCCAAGTGGGCCACCCCTGTTCCGAAGGTCCGATTTTCATCGAACTTTTTTACTTTTCCGGTTCACAACGAAAATATAAGAACTTCATTTGAACGGTTTTGCGAAATTTTGAGTTTTACCGGAGTTATAGGGGTCAAAACATGGCATTTTTGACACTTTTTCGAAAAAGTTGCACTCAGTCATTAATTCATAACTTCGGAACGGTTAGAGATATCTTTATGATGTTTTCACTAATCGCTCAAGAATTATTATGGCTTTCCATAAAAAAATGTAAAAAAAAATTAAAAATTTTTGTTCTTAAAAATAAATCAACATTTTTTTTAGTTTTTATTTTTTCAGTGTTCTTCACCAGCTATAGAGTTTAAAACCATTTGAAAATAAAGTTTGATTCATTACGAAAAAGATCCAAAAAAAAAAAAGTGGCCCGGCCAAAGGTTTTTCGCAATATCGATTTGAAGAAGGGCGCACAGCGGTTTCCCATACAAAAACGGCTTGCTCGTGAAAACTGGCTGGTCAACACATGCCGTAGCGAGCGTAGCGTCAGCTGTCAATGGGGGACTTTTTGCCGTTTTGTATGGGAAACCGCTGTGCGCCCTTCTTCAAATCGATATTGCGAAAAACCTTTGGCCGGGCCACTCTTTTTTTTTTTTTTGGATCTTTTTCGTAATGAATCAAACTTTATTTTCAAATGGTTTTAAACTCTATAGCTGGTGAAGAACACTGAAAAAAATAAAAACTAAAAAAAAATGTTGAT